TTTTTTTTTTTTTTTTTTTTTTTGTTCCACTGACAGTTGAGTGACCAAGTTACTTTGAACAATTTAAGACTATTTTACAAGTCATGTGGTGAGAATTTTGTATTAATGTGGCTGGTCTACCTAGTTTAAGAGAGACTATTTGTTTTACGGTTTATAAATCAACAAGAACACTTCTGTCATTGCAGTACAGCAACTAAACTGTAGATGGAGTTATTGCTCCAAGTCTTAATCCACAGAGTTTGGGCTTGTATACTGCATTTGGGGGGGTTTTTTTCCCTTTTTTTTTTTTTTTTTTTTTTTTTTTTTTTGGTTTGTGTGTGATTGTGATTGACATAAGCTTGGTGTCTCGTCTGAATAGGCAGCTGCACATAGCAAACTTTCAACTTGAACAGTTTTTCTAGGAGGGAGTCTCACACCGAAGCACAGTGCAGTCCCCTCGTCATCTACCTTTCTCAGAAGTGACAAGAGTCACCCACAGTAAAACAAGTAGCCAGCAATAACCACCACCTCATGTTATAGAATGCTACTCCACAATGACTACTGTAGCGACACAATGTTATGCTCACCACAGAGCTACGTTATGTGTTTAGATGGAGCAGGATCAGGACACTTTTAAGTCAACTTACTGTTATTTGGTGTTGAATTATTTTAAAAAAACAAACAAACAAAAAAAATCTACAGTTCCACTACCCTTCCAACACCTCACTCATCCTCAAGTACTACAGCTGAGGTTAAAAATGCAGTATAACAGCGCTGGTCTTGTGGTCGACAGACAAGGAGAAAGGTGAATCAAGTTGTGCCATCTGAATGTCCACTGACCATGTTTCTTCACTGCAGGAAAGCTTTAACCCCAACTGTACTCATTTGAAATGTTTTTCTGCAGCTATTACAATCCATGCAATAAAAACCATATCATTAAACCATATGTTGAGACAAGTTTCTGGTCTGCTTTTGACTTTTATTTTGAATTGTCTGCCTCTTTGCTGACTAAATTAAATAATTGTAAGGTCACTTAAAATGAAAAGCAGCATTGTGTTGGGGTGTGAGAGGGACATCTCCAGAGGGGGGCTGATCTGAAAGTCTCCAAATTGGTGATCGAGAGCATGAAATTAACCAGTGGTGGAAGTTGATCCAGTGCAAATACTCGTGTATTTGACTGAAATGCTTTTATTTTGCATGCAAATATTGTTTGTACCTTATACTCCACATTGTTTCAGTGATTAAAGCTTTAAAATGTATGAACCCTACTAAAAATGTATTGAAAACTTAAACCACAAGGTGGCAGCATCTTACCAAAAAGTTTTATTGTAGGCAACTACGCTAACCAGCATTACATTCTGTGCAAGTTTGAAATTACAGTCTTGAAAGACGTTTTTATGGTGGTTTTAACAAAACTGCACAGACGTTTCTAGTGTTCTCAATAAGTACAATGACAGAAATATAAATGCTGTACAGATGTTAAGTTAACATCAAAGATAATTGCAGCCACCGTAAGCAAAAATAGTTTTAAACTCTTGTGCAAAACTACTCTTCACACAATACATCTCTCTTAGTTCATAGGACTCTCCTGCATGAGCCTCAAAATAGTAGCCAATGCTTTCTACACTATATTTAACCGGGTCTGTGGTCTCTCCCCCCCCCTCGCCCCCCCGCCTTTTTTGGGGCTCCCATCTTTGCCCAATGTTGAAAAAAGTCTGGTTAACGCCCCTGGTGTGTGACAGTGATGGAGGAGGGGCGTGCTCGCTTGGCGCAACGCGCGCACGGGCAATTGAAGAGTAGAGAAGAGGCACACGGGGACCACGCACTCAATGTGCACTTACCGGTTCGTTTCTGTACGATTTATTTCCCGGAAGACCTTTAAGTCTCTCAGGTAAGATGCGAAACTCTTGTTTGATTTAAAAAACTAAACAAAACAAAAACGATCCTTCCTGACACATTAACACCTGCATGCTCAAGAGAAGGGTAACTGGTTGCACGGTGGGGAAAAAAAACGGTTAACACAAGGATGTCTCAGCGGAAAACTTTCCATCTCTGGCAACACCTTTTCATTTAAGCCGAGGTTTACATACATGTGTAAATTTGTCGAAGTCTAAAGTTAAATAAAATGACACTTTTCTTGATCTCCGCATCGATTTTCCTTGACGCGTTTTTACCTGCCTGCTCTTGTCATCCAGACTGCAAGAAGTTGAATTGGTTTGTTTCGGAAATGAAGCTCCTCACTCCTGGCTCCCTCTAAGCGAGCTGCCTTTGAGAGTTAGAGCTTCAAATGTTCATATTGAAATCCTCTTTGTCACATATTTAGTGCGAGTTTGTTCGAGTTGTAGGTGGAGAAACTGGCTGAAACTGTGAGAAATCAGAAAGTGGATTTATCCCCCTTGTTCTAAACGGGCTTTCGGTCTGCCATGCGTTTTTGTCAAATGTGTATTTCCTTGTATGTCACCGGGTAATGACTGGTAGTGTTTCTCAATCATTTATCGAGCGCACCCATCCAAATATAACCAGTTTATTTACTTCAGCATGGATTAAACTCTTCCAGTGATCCTGTGATGTCTTTTCTCCGTTCTTCAAACCAACAAGTGCATTTTAGGGAAGGTAATATTTGTTTTTAATAAGTAAGTTGCTTTTTGGCAAGCTGGATGTTGCTGATTTAAAATAGTTTTATCCCTTCAAATCTCTTCCTACAACATATGCTCCCCGTTTCTACCACGAATAGTGCCCCTGTCAGTGCCTGTATACTCATTTCAGAGTGAAACTGGCTTTAGTCCTTTAGTAACCGGAGCACAACACAGTACGTGCTTCAGAAAGCGCTTTACTGTTTGAGTTTAAAATCGAAATTGAATTTGATTTATTTACAAATCAGTTTAAAAGGATCTAATATTAAATTACGTTATCTGCACTTTTAAATTAGTGGTCATTAAAACAACAGTTGTGGAGCTGTGCTGCGAGATCCCAGAGAAAGCAGCATGAGTCATTTTTAATGAAATCAAAATAAAATATTATTAAAATCAGATGGTTTGTTAACTTCTCACACAGTGTTCGTCCATTTTTTTTCAGATATCCATCTATGAGCTCAGATTTCATTTAAGTGGATTTAAAATGACCTTAAATTGATTTTAATAATATATAAACAATACAGAAAAACGTTGATTCCCATGTCTCACTGACCACAGTTTTCACTGGGGCTTCTTTATTTTGCAGGAAATGGTCCGTGTATTATTTGGGTGCATCACAGTGAGTGTGAGGTAGTTTTATTATTATCTTAAAGTTAGACATATTAATGGCTATTTTTGTTGTTGTGAAGTTCAGTCTGTTTCCTAAATAGAAAGCAACTGCACATTGTCAGCCCATGTGTTTATTGAGCCAGCAGTGTGCATAATTTTGCCTGAATGTAATGTTACAGCATAGGTGATGTGATCTCTGAAGGCAGAACATACAGGACATAGTCTTAAGGGATTATAATGGTTGGCTGATGTATAGCTTTTCAGGGAAATGTGTTTATGTGCACACAGTCCACTCGCTTGCTTTGGTCTGAGTAGAAGATTAGACATCCGCTGAACAGATTACATACACAACTCGCAATATATGGCTTCACTTGAAATCGGTCTTTGTGATAATTTATTGCAAATAGTTTGAGAAATGATATGCAAACTCCATCACATCTGAGTATTTACTGTTGCACTTCCTCAGCTATTACTTTCCGTAAAGTGAAGCTGCAGCGAGGTCATTTCTTGGCATCGTCAGGTAGTTTAAACTGTGGATGAAGGCCATAATACTTCTCCTAAGAGCCAGGAAGAGATTGTGTAGCTGTACAAGTGACTTCTGAAAACACCAATTGGCTTTGTGTTTCTTCTCTACAAGGTATGAAAGCTGTTCTGGTGATAAACTCTTTACTTGGCTTAAAAGCTTCTTCTTTTTTTTTTTGTTTACGCTGTGACGACGTGTATAAATGTGTAAACCCAAGAACCGAATGACATATGCATTCCTGCCATCATATTCTGGGTACATGGATAGGCTAATTCTCACGTTTCTGCTTGTTTGAGCCTACTCACTGTTACTGACTCCATCGGGATAAGAGACATAGCTTCTGTGGGGCGGCTGTGTATCACTTGCTTGATTACTAATCTGATCCCTTTTCCAATTCTCATAAGTACAGGCGGCTTATGGATTGACCACTTGCTGTTATTTTTAATGACATCACTTTGTTTTAATTTAATCTAGGCAGTGAA